TTTGTCACTACTCAGAGAAGGAGATCTTTTAATTTTTGATAAAAGTTAAGGTTCAGTAATCACACTGACCCAAGGATTGGGGGGAGGGGGGCAAGTTTTGATTTAAATTCCTAGACTTATACATGAGTATATAGGGTACCCCTTTTTATCCCATTTCCAGGAAAGACATACATGGCATAAGACAAATAACTTTTAAACTGTTATTTATCAATGTTTTGTGTATAATTTTAATTTTATGTTTATGTTTATTGTTTGTTTATATTATTTTCTGGATCTATGAATTGTTGTAAACCGCCCCGAGTCCCTTCGTGGAGAGGGGATGGGGTATAAATAATGATGATGGATATTCTTATTCTTCTTATTATTATTTTACTGACGCAAAAACACAATATGACACAGCAAACGAGATATATATGCTGGATTTCAGATTACAAAATCGCACATCGAACACTTCCCAAGCATTTAGAATTGTGTTATGTATTTTTGAATGATACGCGCAGATACAAGTAAGGTGGCCTTTTGCAGTTGACAGATTGTGATTTTGTCAATATTATTACTACTACTATTACTACTATTACTACTATATTAAGACACAGAACTGCATAAGCGAAGCATTATACCCTATTTGCTTAATTTAGCATCTCAGCCTTGGAGTCTAAACCAGTGAGAAGTCTTCCTGCATAAAGCTTGCTAAAATTAATAGAAGTCATGGAAGAATGCAATGTTACATTTTGCTGTTTCCTTTCATTATACTTGAATTGGTACAGAGGGAAGTCCATTTCAGATTAGGTCCAGATTACAGGAAGAATAGGGAGCTTTAACCTCTTGTTGCATATCATGGTCAATTGCAAATAAAAGCTCCTGCACAGGAAGTATAAACATAACTCTGTTACCCATTTCAATCAAGAGAACATCAGAGGTCAACGAAATAAAACAGTCCTGTCCCCACTTTAGAGTTCCTTGCAGAAGAAACAAAAAGTCATCACTAGTAGCTATGCCTTCGAAATCTCATCTAGTGTGCTTGCAAAGTCGATATGGGCAGCCTTCCTGATAAGGCTAGACTGCAACTTCCAGCAGTATAACCGATAGTGAGGAATGCTAGGAGCTGCAGTCCAGCACCGCCTGGAGAGTGCACAAGAATAACAGCAAAGTCTTTGTTCTAGAGTACAAAACAAATGAATGCTCATTTTGTCTTGTTCTCACTGTTTCCAGTCTTTTCTCACAGAGCACCTTGAAGATCATCTATATAAATAAAAATGTAAGGTTCGTTTGTGGGATTAACATAACTCAAAAACCACTGGACAAATTGCCACCAAATTTGGCCACAAGACACCTACTAATCCAAGGAGTTATCATCACTCAAAAAATTGGATTTTGTCATTTGGGAGTTGTAGTTCCTGGGATTTATAGTTAACCTACAATCAAAGAGCATTCTGAACTCCACCAATGATGGAATTGAACCAAATGTGGCACACAGGACTCCCGTGACCAACAGAAAACACTAGAAGGGTTTGGTGGGCACTGACTTGAGTTTGGGAGTTGTAGTTCACCTACATCCAGAGAGCACTGTGGACTCAAACAATGATGGATCTGGACCAAACTTGGCATGAATATTCTATATGCCCAAATATGAACACAGATGTAGTTTGGGGGAAATAGACCTTGACATTAGGGAGTTGTAGATACTGGGATTTATAGTTCACCTACAATCAAAGAGCATTCTGAACCCCACCAGCGACAGATTTGTGGCAAACTTCCCACACAGAACCCCCATGACCAACAGAAAATACTTAAGGCCATCCAGTCCAACTCCCTTCACCAGGACAAGAAAACGTAATCAAAGCCCTCCTGACAAAGAGCCATCCAGCCATAGATATAGATAGATATATAAGATTCAGACACACAGATATAGTATCATAGATTTGAAAGGGATCCTTAAAGAAGGACAATTATATGTTGCATGTTCCACAGTAGGCAAACCGGACAAAGAAGCAGCAAGAAAAACTGTTTACCCACAAGCATAAAGAAATTACGTATGTTAGAAACCAACACTTTCTCATTACTTTATTTTCCAGATAACCAGACTGGGCCATAGCAATGCGTGGCAGGGGACGGCTAGTTATTACATATTATGCAAAGCTAACTACCATCCACCTTGATTTCCTGGGGTTAAAAAGTCACACTGTTGGACTTTCTGCTTATCACAAAAGTAAACAGGTCATAGCTTTCACTTTCCATGGATAACAGAAAAGCCAACACCCTCTTCCAATTCCGGGAATTGTCTCTACTGTACTGTGTATGATTCACACTGATGACAAATGGTGGCTTGAGCACAAGTAGAATATAGTTGAGAGAAACACTATCTTCCACCTTTTCCCAAGCTACCACTTAACACGCTTCAGCTGCTATGTTTAGTGTTGGTGCCCCCCTTGTTTGTACCAGACAGTTAAATAATTAATATATTTTTATAAGCTGAGCACCTGCCACAGTGTAGTACTTTAAGCATGAGTCTAGGACTCTGTGAGAGCAAGGTTTGATTCCCTGCTCAGTCGTGGAAAACCCCTGGATGTGATTAGGCAAGTCACACTCTCTCAGCCTCAAAGGAAGCAATGGCAAACCTCTTCTGAGCAAATATTGCCAAGAAAAACCTGTGACAAGTTCAACATAGGTTGGAAATGACTTGAAGGCACATGACAACAACAGTGCAAACATCTCCAGTTAGAAAGATGCTTGAGCAGGTGACAGGAGGATCTACACCATAAAATTAGTGCGGTTCAACACCACTTTAACTGCTCTATCTTTCATTTTTTCATGTCAGGAGAGACTTGAGAAACTGCAAGTTGCTTCTGGTGTGAGAGAATTGACTATCTGCAAGGACGTTGCTCAAGGGATGCCCGGATGTTTTTGATGTTTTACCATCCTTGTCGGAGGCTTCTCTCATGTCCCCGCATGAAAAGCTGGAGCTGACAGAGGGTGCTCATCAGTGCTCTCCCTGGATTCGAACCTCTGACCTATCGGTCTTCAGTCCTGCCGGCATAAGGGTTTAACCCATTGCGCCACCAGGGGTTCCAGTAACTGCCCTTGCAGTTACTGGAGTTATAGTTTTACAAGGTCTTTAACATTCTCTGCCAAAGATGCTGGTGTCTTAGTAAACTCTAGTTCCTGGGATTCCACAACATTGACCTAAAGTGATGTTAAACAGCTAAAGTGATGTCAAACTGCATTAATTCTTCAGTGTAGATCAGTGGTTCTCAACCTGTTTAATACTGCAACCCCTTAATACAGTTCCTCATGTTGTGGTGACCTCCAACCATAACATTATTTTTGTTGCTACTTCATAACTTCAGTAGCAATTTTGCTACTGTTATGAATCATAATGTAAAATATCTGATATGCAGGATGTATTTTCATTCACTGGACCAAATTTGGCACAAATACTCAATTCACCCAAATTTGAATACTGATGGAGATTGACTTTGTCATTTGGGAGTCGTAGTTGCTGGGATTTATAGTTCACCGACAATCAAAGAGCATTCTAAACTCCACCGACAATGGAGTTGTACCAACTTGGCACACAGAACTCCCGTGACCAACAGAAAATACTGGAACGGTTTGGTGGGCATTGACCTTCAGTTTTGGAGTTGTAGTTCACATACATCTAGGAAGCACTGTGGACTCAAACAATATTGGATCTGGACCAAACTTGGCACAGATACTCAATAAGTCCAAATGTAAACACTGGCGGAGTTTGGGGGAAATAGACCTTGACATTTGGGAGTTGTAGTTGCTGGGATTTATAGTTCGCCTACAATCAGAGAGCATTCTGAATACCACCGATGAAAGAATTGGGCCAAACTTCCCACACAGAACCCCCATGACCAACAGAAAATACTGTGTTTTCTGATGGTCTTTGCGACCCCTCTGACACCCTCTCGTAAACCTCCCCCCCCCCCCGGGGTCCCGACCCCCAGGTTGAGAAACACTGGTGTAGATGCATCCAGTGGCTCCCAAACTCTAATCCTCCAGGAATTTGGGACTTCAACTCTAAGAGAAGCCACAACTACCTTATAGGATAATCAGGGTCTTACGTCCCAAACATCTTGGAGACCAGAGTCTGTGGCTGGATCTACACTGCCATAGTAAATCCCGATTATCTGCTTTGAAATGGATTATATGGCAGTATAAAAGGTAAAGGTTGTCCCCTGACATTAAGTCCAGTCGTGTCTGACTCTGGGGTGTGATGCTCATCTCCATTTCTAAGCCGAAGAGCCGACGTTGTCCATAGACACCTCCGAGGTCATGTGGCCGGCATGACTGCATGGAGCACCGTTACCTTCCCGCCGGAGCGGTACCTATTGATCTACTAACATTTGAATGTTTTTGAACTGCTAGGTTGGCAGAAGCTAGGGCTGACACCGGAAGCTCACGCCGCTCCCCGGAATCGAACCTGCGACCTTTCGATCAACGCAGCTCAGCGCTTTAACCCGTACGCCACCGGGGGGGGGGGGGGCTCCATATATGTCAGTGTAGACTCCTATAATCCAGTTCAAAGAAGATAATCAGGATTATCTGATCCAATAATCTGGATTATATGACAGTGTACATCCAGCCTGGGAAACACTGGGGTGAGTGTACACTGTAGAATGAACCCGGTGTGACTCCACTTATGGCTCAAAACAACAAAGTCCTGGGAGTTGTAGTTTTACAAGGTCTATCCTTCTCTACCACAATGCCTCTGGTGTCAAGCTGCATCTATTCTAGTGTAGACCAGGCATGGCAAACTTCGGCCCTCCGGGTGTTTTGGACTTCAACTCCCACAATTCCTAACAGCCTACCTGCAGTTAGGAATTGTGGGAGTTGAAGTCCAAAACACCCGGAGGGCCGAAGTTTGCCCATGCCTGGTGTAGCAGACTTGTTTACAACTCCTTTCTTTCCTCCAAGGAGAAAGGGAATCAGGGAAGGGGTTCCCTCTGATTTTGCATCTTTGGCTTGCTACTCACCCTCTTTCTCCTTCTCCTTCTCCTTGGACAGGGACGGGAAAGACCTCTCCTCCGTAGACTTGGCTGTGGGAAAGCCCCAGCCGCTGTTTCCCCGTCACTGGGAGGTGGAGGCGGTGCTTTGGCAGGCGAAAGAGAAACCAGATCCTCTCTCCTTGGCTTTGCCAAAGCCCGGCCCCTGTGCCCAGCCTGCCGGGAAGTGTAGTCCCTCAAGAGGCAGGCATGCCACGCTTCCTCCCCAGTGACCACTGTTGCCCAACCTCCATCATTCTATGCTACAGCCTTCCAGGGACATCAGATCACAAGCTCCCATTGCAAAATATTTCCAGAATCTGCTAGACCCCAAATACTTTGCTTTGAGCTACAACAGCGTTTCTCAACCTGGGGGTCAGGACCACGAGGGGGTGTCAGAGGAGTCACCAAAGACCATCGGAAAATACAGTATTTTCTGCGTTGTTGTAGGTTTTTGGTTCTAGAGGCATTCTCTCCTGACGTTTCGCCTGCATCTATGGCAAGCATCCTCAGAGGTAGTGAGGGCTATTGGAACTAGGAAAATGGGTTTATATATCTGTGGAATGACCAGGGAGGGACAAAGAAATCTTGTCTGTTGGAGCTAGGTGTGAATGTCTCAACTGACCACCTTGATTAGCATTTTTTTAAATGCATTGATTGCCATTTAATTACCAAATCCCATGACCACATTCGAGGAGCACAGGGGCAGTACAAAAGTCAACAATTGCTGTCATGTTCAGTAAACATGTGAAAGTTATTGTTGCCCCCTGCACAACCTTTGCAGTGGGTTCCAAAGTAACACAGTGGGCCATTGCCTGCCAGTACCAAACTGGTGTCGAAGAATAAATATTCCTTTGCAATGCTGGATGGTGGTTGTTCCCATGTGTGTCATCGTCCTTCACTTCCGCCGGGAGGGGATCCATCTCAAGAAGGCACTTTGAGCTTTGTGCTGCCCAGAAGGAACTGCAAGACTCTGTCGAGGCGCGCAATGAAGAAATTGGCCAGCAGAACTTGAGTAATCACTAGTTTAAACTGTTTAAACCTTGATTAGCATTTGATGGCCTGGCAGTGCCTGGGGCAATGATTTGTTGAGAGGTGATTAGATGTCCCAGAATGTTTCCTCTCTGTTGTTTTGCTGTTGTAATTTTAGAATTTTTAATACAGTATTTTCTGTTGGTCATGGGGTTCTGCATGGGAAGTTTGGCCCAATTCTATCATCGGTGGGGTTCAGAATGCTCTCTGATTGTAGGTGAACTATAAATCCCAACAACAACTCCCAAATGACAAGGTCCATGTTCCCCAAACTCCCACCAGTGTTCACATTTGGGCATATTGAGTATCCATGCCAAGTTTGGTCCAGATACAGCATTGTTGTGAGGCCACAGTGCTCTCTGGATGTAGGTGAACTACAACTCCAAAACTCAAGGTCAATGCCCACCAAACCCGTCCAGTATTTTCTGTTGCTCATGGCAGGTCTCTGTGCCAAGTTTGGTTTGATTCCATCATTGGTGGAGTTCAGAATGGTCTTTGATTGTAGGTGAACTATAAATCCCAGCAACTACAACTCCCAAATGTCAACTCTATTTTCCCGAAACTCCCACCAGTGATCATATTTGGGCATATTGAGTATTTTAGTTATCGTATCAGCAACGAACCAACGTATTTGAGGAAACACAAAGTTTAAAAACTTGGCATTCTATTAAATGTCCTTTGACCAGTAGCTGGCCACTTGGAGTGCCTCTGGTGTTGCTATAAGAAGGTCCTCCATTGTTCAAGTGGCAAGGCTCAGGTTGCATTGTAGTAGGTGGTCAGTGGTTTGCTCTTCTCCACACTCACATGTTGTGGACTCTACTTTGTAGCCTCATTTCTTAAGGTTGACTTTGCATTTCATGGTGCCAGAGCACAGTCTGTTTATCACCTTCCAAGTCACCTAGGCTTCTGTGTGGCCAGGAGGAAGTCTCTCATTAGGTATCAGCCACGGATGGAGGTGCTGGGTTTTAGCCTGCCACTTTTGGACTCTCACTTGGTAAGGTGTTCCTGCGAGTATCTCTGTAGATCTTAGAAAACTATTTCTTGATTTAAGGCGTTGGTTTGCAGGCTGATATCCGAACAGAGGATGGGCTGAAGATGTTACTGCCTTGGTCCTTTCACTATTGACTGCTGCTTCCCGGCAGATGTCAGGTGGTGTAGGAGGTGCAGACAGCCTGTGATAGTGTGGCATGTTTCATTAAGAGCCAAATCCACTGTTTTTAGCGTGGTGAGATGTGTTCCACACTGGGTATGCGTACTCAGCAGCAGAGTAGCAAAGCGCAAGGGCAAATGTCTTCACTGTGTCTGGTTGTGATCCCCAGATTGTGCCAGTCAGCTTTTGTATGATATTGTTTCTAGTGCCCACTTTTTGTTTGATATTAACACAGTGCTTCTTGTAGGTCAGAGAATGGTCCAAGGTAACTCCCAGGTATTATATTGGGCCGTATACTATAACAGGAGATCCTGCCCCAAAGGGTTTTTTGGCTCTTCTCTAAAAGTTGTTGGAGCATGCAAGGAATCAGTGAGTTTATGTGTGTCAACTGTAAAACAAGATGCATGAAGCCGATTGGTGGGGTTACGTCCAGGAAGATGGCTGAGCCTGGGACCTTTAGATACAGTTACGTTTTTGTTCTTCTTGAGCTATGCAAGTGCACAGACAATTTGAAGACAGACGGAGGGAGAGACAGACTGGTTTGCTTCTTGGCTGTTGAAAAAGGTCTCATATGGACAAAGATATACCATTTTAAATCTCTCTGAAAGAACATTTAGTGAGTTGATACAACTGATCATATTGTACATATATATTGCTCTGAATTAAGAAGAGTAAACTACTTGTTCTTTATTGTTTATCTGCATGGCATATTTTGTTTCTCTGGCAAGGCAGTGTATGGGCTGAGGAAACCTGACCTACACGTGGTTTATTATATGTTCACCAACTCCATGAAAGGATCGCCGCCTTGTCGTGGCGCTGGAGCTTGAGCACCTCAATGATGTCACGAGCGAAACCGTGAAGGGCCACCCAAGACCGGACGTACAGCAGGGTTATATACTCTCACCCAACCTATTCAACTTGTATGCAGAACATACCATGCAATGTGCAGGGCTTGACAAATGCAAGGCTGGGGTAAAAATTGCTAAAAGAAACATAACAACCTTAGATATGCAGATGACACCACTTTGATGGCCAAAAGCAAGGAGAAGCTGAGGAGCCTTCTATCAAGGTGAAAGACTAAAAGTGCAAAAGCTGGGTTGCAGCTAAACATAAAAAAAACACCAAGATTATGGCATCAAGAATGATTGACAAATGGGAAATAGAGGGAGAAAACGTGGAGGCAGTGACAGACTTTGTATTTCTAGGTGCAAAGATTACTGGACGCAGACTGCAGCCAGGAAATCAGAAGATGTTTACTTCTTAGGAGGAGAGCAAGGACCAATCTCGATAAAATATGGTGGGTTGGTTTTTTTTTTGTCGTGTCAGGAGTGACTGCAAGTCGCTTCTGGTGTGAGAGAATTGGCCATCTCACAAGAAGACAATGGATTCTCACCAATACAAAAAACACAAATCCACTAAAAGTTGTGGTACATAAATGACAAAGGTCAATATTGCCTAACAGTTTGTATATTACAATATTCAACAAACAACAAATTTATATGGTATAGGCATAACACAGTATATAATGAACAACAACCAGTTGTTTACAAAGATTACACATATAGAACATAAAGAGTCTTTTGGTGTAAAGACAACTTGTCTTCAGGGCATAAGATCCCTTGCTTTAGAGTAAGCGTAATGTAGAGTCTTTCGTGGTGTAAACCCAACTTCTCTTCAGGGCATAGGATCCCTTGCTTTAGAAAATTTTCAGTTCTTTATATACGGATATCCACATCCACGACCGGTTTCGACTACAGTCTTCCTCAGGTGGATCTATGAGACATCAAGTTCTTCACAATAGTAATCCCTCCTCGGGTGTTTTATACAATGGGACAGTGGCTAAGTTCTCAGAAGCCGTGCTCTGCAGCAGTTTGATTCTCTAGCAAGGACTGACTGCGTTCCCTCATTTCTCCCTGGAAATCCTATCTCAGTTATATCCTACCTTGTTCACGTCCAGCATTATTTTTTAATTTTAATCTATTACATTTGGCCCGGCCATTGGTTTTAAATGCTTGTGTGTCACTCTTGATTGTTCATTATTTTTATGTGATTTATATGAATTGTATTGTATTGTTCTGTTATTGCTTTTGTTTATTGATGTTTTGTTTATTGATGTAGTGTTGGCTTGGCCACATGTAAGCCACACCGAGTCCCCCGGGGAGATGGTAGCGGGGTATAAATAAAGTTTTATTATTATTACTAGCTGTACCCGCCATGTGTTGCTGTGGCCAACCTTCCCTCTTTCTCTCCTTCTTTCCCTCCTTCCTTCACTCTCTCTTTCCTTCCTGCTTTCCCATCTTTCCCTCTCTTCTTCCTTCTCTATCTCTTTCCTTCCTCCCCCTAGAATCATAGAATCAAAGAGTTGGAAGAGACCTCATGGGCCATCCAGTCCAACCCCATTCTGCCAAGAAGCAGGAATATTGCATTCAAATCACCCCTGACAGATGACCATCCAGCCTATATTTAAAAGCTTCCAAAGAAGGAGCCTCCACCACACTCCGGGGCAGAGAGTTCCACTGCTGGACGGCTCACAGTCAGGAAGTTCTTCCTCATGTTCAGATGGAATCTCCTTTTTCTTTCTCTTTTGCTGTCACTTTTCTTCCTTCTTTCTTTCATTCACTCCCTCTTTCTCTACATCTTCCCCCTTTCTTCACTCCCTCTTTCCTTCCTTCTTTTCCTTTTTTCTTTCCTTCCTTCTCTAAGTTTCCTTCATTCCCCCTTTTTCTTTCCCTCTGTCTTTCTCTTTCTTCTTTCCTTCCTTCTCTTTGCTTCCATGCTTCCTTCTCCCTTTCCTTGATTCTTTCTCTCCCTCCCTCCCTTTTTCTTTTCTTTCCTTCTTTCTTTTCTCCCCTCCCCTCCCTCTTTCTTCCCTTTTTTCTGTATTGTCATTCAGCTTTCCGTCATTTAGATTTTTGGGGCTTTTAAAGTCTCTTCTGCTGCGTTTTGTTGTGTTTTTATGAGTGAAGGACATAGATTGGGTTGTTAGGTGTCTTGTGTCCAAATTTGGTGTCAATTCGTCCAGTGGTTATTGAGTTCTGTTAATCCCACAAACGAACATTACATTTTTATTTATATAGATTATTATTATTATTATTATTACTCGAAGCCTCCTTTCAAAGTGGACAGGCAAAAAGCAAACACGTCATTGCCAGGTCGTCTCACGTGGTGCGAGGTTGTCCAATCAAGGCATCGAGTTCCTTCTGCGTCGAACGAAGGTCTTTTCCACGTTCGACAAGGCCTCAATCACACTCAAAGGGGGGGGGGTCTTGTCACGTGACTCGGCCTCTCTCTCTCTCTCTCTCTCTCTCTCTCTCTCTCTCTCTCAATTCCCTCCCGTTCACTCACTCTATAGAACACTCCCCGGAAGCCGTGGCAGAGAACTGGCCAATAGGAAAGTCGGAAGCGCCTTTCGGAAGCTGGCCAATCTCTGCTCGAGGACGGAGGAGCGCGAGGGGAGCGCGCGCAGCAGGGGCAGCCAATGGCGTGCGCGGAAAAAAAAGTGTGCGTCCCGTGAGCCTCCACGGCCGGGCTGGCCTGCGTGCCTTGCGTCGCGGGGACCAATAGGAGCGGAGGACGCTGTGGAGCCTTGGCAAGGTGAGCGAGGGCGGGAGGGGCTCGGCTGTCTCTCTGTGTGGTGCTCGGAGCCGCATTGATTCCTCTGGAGAAGGTGAGTCCTGCAGAAGAGGGGCCGAGGTGGGGCCTAGGCGGAGAGAAGCAGGGAAGGAAACAGGCCGGGAAAGGAAGTGGGTTGAGCGGGGCCGAAGGAATGCAGGAAGGAAATGGAAGGCCTGGGTTCGAATCCCGGCTCGGCCGCGAAACCTATTGAATGACCTTGGGCCAGTTACACTCTCTCAGCCTCAGAGGAAGGCCGTGACAAACCTATGAACGAATCTCCCCTAGAAGGAAAAAAAAAGTTATTTGACATTGTATTTTTTATCATTCTATATTTGCATTATTTTATATTGATTAAGTAAAACCAGGATAGGTTTGACGTTTTGTTGTCATAGGTCGGGAAGAACTTGAAAGCCCAAAATTATTTCTTTTTCAGAGGGTCAGTCATCCCTAGGCCGTACAGACCAGTTTGGCATTTTAAAAAATTGTGTCCGGTTATGTCGACTGACAATAAATATAGAACAAAAACCAGACTACAGTTTTCAGATGCACAGTTTTTTTTTAAAAAGAGGACATTCAACTTTATTATTGGGCCCTTAAGTGGGGAAAGGCAGGGTATAAATTTCTTAAATAAATAACAGTTTGTTGTGTAATCCAACATACTTATTCTAGCTACATTCATGTGGCTTAATGTAACAGATCAACATATAATAATAACAAATTGTGAGCTTAATAGGAGGAGATACATTCGTTGTGTTCAAACGTATCTCCTCCTATGAACCACCTTGGAGATTAAGATCATCTGGGGAGGCCTTGCTATCGGCTGTCTACTTCACCCAGGGGCGACTCAACCTATTACGCAAAGTAAGCATTTGCAGTATAGTTGATTTTGCCCAGGGGCACTCTTGGGAGAAAATAGACCTTGACATATGCAAGTTGTAGTTACTAGGATGTATAGTTCACCTACAATCAAAGAGCATTCTGAACTCCACCAATGATGAAATTGAACCAAATATGGCACACAGAACTCCCAAAACCAGCAGAAAATATATATCAGTGATTGGTTGGGGGCGGGGATACTGCTTGCTTACCTTCGAAAATTACCTAAGGCTGCCTCTGCCTTCACCAGTGTGACTGTTGGGGACAAGAGACAGGGCCTTCTCCGTGGTGGCCCCTCAGCTGTGGAACTCCCTACCCAGTGATATCAGAGCATGTCCCTCCAGGTCTTCAGAAGGAAAGTGAAAACCTGGTTCTGGGGTCAAGCCTTTGGAGATGAACTACAATGCAATAATAGCTACTGAATTAAGTGCAATGACTTTTTGGAACAGCCCCGGATTATGATTGTGGATGGCGTGATTTTTAATAGTGATTGTAATGTTTTATATGTTTTTAATGTGCATTTACTTTTAATTTTTAAATCTTTAACTTTATATATGTTGTTCAAAGTCATTGGCCGTATGAAAGCCGCCTTGAGTCCCCTTTGGGGTAGAGAAAGGCAGGATACAAATAGAGTAAATAAATAAATAATACATTAGGTGTTGATCTGTTACAAAGCTACATTGAAGCCAGGTTGACTGACTTCTGGAGAAATATGCACCAGAGCTGTGGTTCCCTGTCTTTGGTTCTCCAAATGTTTTAGGCTGGATCTATACTGCCATATAGTTCAGATTATCAAACACATAATCCAGATTAGCTGCTTTCAATTGGATTATATGAGTCTACATTGCCATATATAAATAAATAAATAAATAAATATAATCCAGTTCAAAACAGATAATCCAGATTATATATGGCAGTGTAGATGGGGCCTTAGACTTCAGCGCCCAGAATTCCTAAGAAGTGGCCAAGATGGCTGGGGCTTCTGGGAGTTGAAGTCTTATTATACTGTGATTATCTGTGGATTTTGAACTCTAGAGAGCATGGCTTTCTGGTACTACAAAATCTAATTAGTCTTTTAAATGTCACCAAAAGACTTTTGATTCTCTATATGATACGCAAACCTACATCTTTAGAATTGTCATATAAAGGTAACTGCATTGCATAACCTTGTAAATGTAATTTTTCAGTTAGGTGATATAATTGAAGTCAGCAGCCATGAGCATTGGCAAATATTACTGACAGAGTCCAAGGACTTTATGATTGAAGTAGATGACAGTGTGGATATGGAGAGAAAGGGATGTATTAAAATGCTTAGGGTACATCTCAGTGGCTGAAGAATATAGCAAAAACTGAAAAACAAGTTAGATATAGCAGGTGAAAGGTGAAAGCTGCTTAGTGATAGGTTTGGTGGCATACTGGCTATTTACTGGGAGGGAAGTGCAGCTCTTAAAAAATTAATGTGCTGCAAGTTTTGTGACCTAATTTCAGTTCTTTTCTTATGAACTCATCACAGAGCAATTATCCACTTTAAATCCTGTGACTGCTTATTGAAGAATGGTGGGGTTTGTAGTTTAGTGAGGTCCAGGACCTATCTGACTGAGCAGTTTAAAGGTTCCTTCCTAAACTACAAACTTTGAATTTTGCAGGGGACCTACACAAGATTTAAAGTGGATAAATGCTTCAGTGCACTGGTTTGGCCCTCCAGTTGTTTTGGATTCAGCTCCTAGAAATCCCAGCTAGTTTACCAGCTGTTTGGAACTATGGGAGCTGAAGCCCAAAACACCTGGAGGACCACTGGTTGGGAACCACTTCTTTAGTGGGGTGAGGTTCTAGCTGCCTATTTGCAGGTAATAAAATCTGCAATACTCTATAAAGACACCAAATTCTATCTGAACATGAAAGGTTAGACAGGTCAGCCCCAGTTAGAATTTGTATGGGAGATCATCAACAAATTTCAGGTGCTGTAGGCTAGATCTCAAGAGGAAGAATCTGGCCAAAATCACCTTTGAGTATTCATTCCTTCCCTAAAAAAAACAGGTGACTTGACACACACATGTACCCAAAACTATGTTTAGCATATTTTCTAAAGAGCCATCTTTCAATTTACTATAGTCCCAAACACCCTTTTCCTTGTGTATTATGATTTCTGTAAGAGAAGAAACTTTTCATTTTGTAACTGACTTTGCTTTACCATTTTCTTGGGCCCCCTCCACACTGCCCCTCTATCACAGGATCTGATCACAAATTATCTGTTTATCCCAGATTATCTGGCAGTGGAGACTCATATAATCCAGTTCAAATCAGATAATCCGGATCAGATCCTGGAGGGGAGGACAGTGTGGAAGGGGCCTTGGTTGTCACATAGGGTGCCAGTCTACAACTGGTGAGGTGTCACTGTTGCACAGTTCCTGGCTGTCAAGTAATTCTCCCTTAGTTCTGGTGGATAGACAGATTGATACTGTTATTGCAAACTGATCTGACCTGGTTTTGTTTTGGATTAGCACTTAGTAAAAACCCTTATAGAAAGAGGTTTTATCCTGTTGAAAAACAAAAAACAAATGGATTAGGAAAAATCATATACTTGTTTTTGGGAATGACATGACTATTTATTTTGTGTTATGTGTAAATCTGGCTTTTCTTCTTTTATTCAGGACAATCAATATGCAGGCTCCACTAGCTCTTATGGCTTCTCCAGCCCTGGTAAGAAATGTTTGGGTCAAAGATGTCCTAAACAGAGATTTATTAAGCAACCTTAATTATTTATTTTTCTCAGTTTATCGTTCCAATTTTGCAGAAGCTGGCTAGGAGTAACTTGACCATAGAATATATTTAGGCTGAGATGCCACTTGAACCCATGTCAGATAGCAAGCCACAGTGGTTTCTGAAGTAAACTCGGGCAAGTCACACTCTCTCATCTTAGAACAATGGTTCTCAACCTGTTGGTCCCCAGGTGTTTTGGCCTACAACTCCCAGAAATCCCAGCCAGTTTACCAGCTGTTAGGTATTCTGGGAGTTGGTGTCACAATTAATATTTATTAAGAAAATGTTTGGCCTGCCCAAGACTAGTTCATCCCTAATTGCAGTCATATTAGGTAACATTTAGCAGTTTTGGCATGATGCATCAAATGATGCCGTTTAATGTGAGTTCATACTGACTCAATGAGACTGAAAGTGGTCATTGATTTCAGGGTTCCTCTCCTAAGTCCAGCTAAATCCAGATCCATCTCATTATGGATAAACAAATGCTCTGGGAAATTTGCTAAATGGTGGAATAAAAATATAAACTATATAAAAAAGTAAAGGCAAGAACACAAATACTCACATTTTACTTGCTATTAAGTAAATTCATATTCTTGTGCCTCGGCTGCTCTGTAATGTTCCCACTGGTTGCTCTATGGCTAGTGATCCTTGAGATTGAACTGTACTGTGGTTATGTTCAGTACTCTAGAGTAGGAACGATCCCTTTATCAAAAAATAAGATTATGATTCTGGTAGAAAGTGTATTTTGGGAATATTTGGTCCAGGGTGGGAGCCGCGGCCTTCCAGGTGTTGTTGAATTATAACCCCCAGGTTTCTTTGCCATTAGAGTTATTAGAGATGGTGTGTGACAATACCTGGGGGGCTACATGATTTCTACTCTTGATTTCATCTCATGTTAAATCTTTGGCATCTACAATCTGAAGGTTCGCAGGGAGACTTAAATTTGAAACCCTGAAGAGCTATGGGCAGTCAGAAATAGACAATACTTTATAGAACTGTTCTTCTTGTTTATTTATTTCCTTTTCCCCCCAGTTGCGCTGCTGTTCTCGAGCTCTAGCAAGGCCAGCTTCGCTTTCTATATTCAGCAGGCCAGAAACTCAGACTGTGCAGGTGAGAATAAATAACATGGCTTCACATTGTTGACTTACGCAACAAGTGTTTATTTGCATCATTTCTTCTTCTAAAAGGAAGACTAAAGTAGTGAACATGTTACAAAAACAAGTACCCATCAAAGCACGTAAATGTCTCAAAGTAAATGTGCTAAAATAAGGGAATAAATAGAGAATATGTATATATATTAATCAATTTGTGAAAGCTAGGAGCCCCCGGTGGTGCAGTGGGTTAAACCCTTGCGCTGGCAGGACTGAAGACTGACAGGTCGCAGGTTTGAATCCGTGGAGAGTGCGGATGAGCTACCTCTATCAGCTCCAGCTCCCCATCGGGGGACATGAGAGAAGCCTCCCACAAGGATGGTAACACATCAAAACATCCGGACGTCCCCTGGGCAACGTCCTTGCAGATGGCTAATTCTCTCACACCAGAAGCGACTTGCAGTTTCTCAAGTCGCTCCTGGCATGAGAAAAAAATTGTGAAAGCTAACTTCTTGGTCACTGAATATTCCAGTTATCTAATCACATTACAGGAGGTATCAGAAGACATGAATGTGCTGAGTGTATCCCATGAATTGCATATGCCAGTTTTATCCCTTCCCAAGGAAAAGCTGGTATCAAATGAATCTTGTCTCATGTGGCTTGCAGATGTTGTTTGAATTGCACTGGAAGTTGCAGCTGTTCACACACCCTAAATACAATCTAATAAGGGACAGTTTATTTGGCAGAAATAACTATTTCCAAAGATAAGAAATGTGTGGCTTTCTAGATATTGATGGGCTGTCATTTCTTTCAGGCTTAGCCTGCATAACCAGTGGTGAAAGCTGAAAATTGCAACTCCTAGTAGGACATACATGACCAATGGGAGAGGGTTGGAGCTGTCATCAAAAAATATGGAAGAACAAAAGATCCCAATTTCTATCCTAATACTTTGTTTGGGGAGGACTGGCTGGTTGTTCCAGTGTACCTTCCCAGAATAATGAACCCTTAGCATTATGTCCTCCATAGCACTTTATACCGATTTAGGACTGCTTGTATGTCTCCATTAACGCCCCATCTCCATTACCTTGTTGATGCCTAGCATTATTTTTTAAACTTCAATTACATTTGGCCCAGCCATATATTTTAAATGCGCAATGTACTTTGTTTAATGTGTATGCTGTTTGTGTATGAGATTTATTTTAATTGCCTTGTATTGTGTCTGTTATTGCTTGTATTGATGTATTGTGGGCTCGGCCTCATGTAAGCCGCACCGAGTCCCATGGGGAGATGGTAGCGGGGTATAAATAAAGTTGTTATTATTATAAATGATGTTGCTTTCATATTGCTGGCCATATTAACAGCTTGTTTTTTCCACAGCCCTTTGGCATTTCCAATCATCAGCTGGTTCATCGGGAATTCCAAACCAGTGCGGTCTCCCGTGACATTGATACTGCTGCTAAATTCATTGGTGCTGGTGCTGCTACTGTGGGAGTAGCAGGTTCAGGAGCAGGAATTGGGACAGTGTTTGGCAGTTTAATCATCGGCTATGCCAGGTAAACTAACTTAGAAAACAATTTCCACTTTATCACGATGGGCAGCTGAAGCCAATGCTGTTCACTGCAACATACTTACTTTAAAAAAAATCTTGATAGCTAAGGATGTCCAACCTGAACTTCATGTAGCATATGCCATTTTATACTTTTTTCACACAAGACATTTATTTCCATGTAAAACATGTTTATAAGCGCTGCAGAATCCAACACAATTTTAGTTCTTTGGTTGTTTTGTTATAATTAAAGTCAATTCAAAGTCTTTATAAGAAATCACAGCTGCATAGCTTGTATATTGAGCAGGGGTATTGTTCTAACATATAAAGTAAAAGGTGCAAGTTTTAATGATGAAGTGGTAATAGAAAAAGAAATGGTATCGTGCACTTCACAGCTACAGCAATAAGGTTACATTATTGTATATTTTAAGGTTTTAATTGTATTGTTTTGGTTTTATTCTAAACCACTGTGAGTCTTGTTTAGAGAGGAAAAATGCAGGATAATAATGCCTAAAATGTAAGATAATTATGTTTCAGACCCAAGATTACCATTTGTAACAAGCAACCTAAAGGGAATACTATGCTCTTATCAGCTATTTTCCTGACAGGATGTACAGATATCTTGGCCAAATCAATAGGTTCAGTGAAATCCCACTTGAAAATTCAGAAAATAATGTTGTATTGTGCTAAAAAAACCCAATCATTTTATATGGACTGTTAAATATCATAAGGAAACAAAGTATGCACAGGATAAAAATGGCAACTGTTAAAATAGGCAAAGTAGGGGGAAGGGAATCACTAATGTAATTTAAAAGGTAAAGGTTTCCCCTTGATATTAAGTCTAGTCATGTCCGACTCAGGGGGAAGAAGGGTGATGCTCATCTCCATTTCTAAGCTACAGACACCTCCAAGGTCATGTTGCTGGCATGACTGCATTGAATGCCGTTACCTTTCCGCTGGAGCGGTACCTATTGATCTACTCACATTTGCATGTTTTCGAACAGTGGGAGCTCACCCCACTCCCCGGATTCGAACTGCCAACCTTTCAGTCAGCAAGTTCAGCAGCTTAGCAGTTTAACCCACTGCACGCTCCTCCAATATAATTTGGTTGAGGGCAATTGCATAAATAAATGAGCTCATTAGGACAAAATGGATTAAAACTACACAACTAAATACCTAGGTTCTCACAATGTGCTATAAAAGAAAACAGCAAATGTTGGTAGCATAGAATGAAACTAGTAAAACTGATATTTAAGATTTTTCAGATATACAGGAAGTCATCAGGATACAGATAATATAGGCTTTATGGGTTTGTTCTTAAGTTCAATTTGTATGTAAGTCGGAACAGGTAGATTTTTAAAGTGTAACCCCAGGCAATGTTTCTTTTAGTTTTTAGTAGCATGGGAAAGGGTTAATACCCCTGTGGTGTTTGTTTTGCTGTCTGTGCCCGTTTGAAGATTTCACCTCACTTTCTGTCCCTGTGAGAATTTGAAAAAAATAGCTTGTTGTGGAAACAAGGATTGATGACAAAGTTTTGGCGAATTTCCTCTCGCTTCCTGTTATCTCACTCTCATTCGTAACTTATGAGTTGTATTCGAGTTGGATGTCTGTAACTTGAGGATTGCCTATATATGATAAGGCTATTGGAGAAAATGTAACCTAACCGGGCTTTCTTCTGTATATTATTTACAGGAACCCATCCCTCAAGCAGCAGTTGTTTTCTTATGCTATCCTGGGCTTTGCCCTCTCAGAGGCCATGGGGCTCTTCTGTTTGATGGTGGCATTTCTCATCTTGTTCGCCATGTGAAATCCTTGGAACTATGCTGCAGCTGCTGTCTGTCCATGTCCTCACCGGTTTGAACTTGCCTCCCTGTGCTAGGGTGTTCCAAACTTTCTCTAAATAAATAAGATTAAAGTTTTTTTGGTCTTGTGCCTTGCTTCATTCTGCCTTTGCATCTCACTTTGTGTGTGTGCATACGCGCATCAGTTTCATTTTGTAGTGAACAATAAAAATAGAATCCTCTCACACCCACTCTTGAGCCACCGAAGCTCAATGCTATGGAATAAAAGGAGTTGTAGTTTTTCAGGGTGTTTCATCTCCCCTCTAAAGACTGTTGGTGCCCTGCCAAACAGCATTAATTCTACAATGTAGATGCAAAAAACAAAAAAGCTGGGGTTATGACCAGGCCATGTCCTGGTGACCTCTAAACCTTCCTCAACCAATATTTTTCCTTGAAGGTGATGGAGGGATTACCCTCCAAACATATCATTTGAAAAACAGAAAAGCAGTTTAAACTCCGCTCTCCACCTCAATAAGAAAAGTGGAAGGGTGGCTGCAAAGGTTCCACTAATGGGAAAGAGAAGGGGCAGGCTTTGGCTTTAAGAAGCAACCCCTGATTGGCTGGAGGGCTGGTCCTATAAGACTGCAAGGAACAACCAAGCTGGAAGTTTACTGCTAGTGTGCAGGCGCAGATTCATGCTGGTACACTGATGTGGAAAAAGAGATTTAGAAAGACTGGGTGGATGCTTAGGGAAACACTTCGACTGCCATGGCTCAACGGTATGGATTCGTGGGATTGGTAGTTTGGTAGGGCTAAAGCACTGTTTGATAGAAAATGCCAAAGACCGTGTAAAACCCACTCTTCTCACCCCTCAGGGGACTCAGGGCGGAGCACAACATATATAGGGCAAACACACAATACCGGGACATAAAACTATAAATATACACAAACATTAAAATCACTTATATCCACTTTAAAATCAGTTGCTTAAAAACAATCTCAGGACACCATTCTATTCTTGCCTCATTGCACTGTCCCAAAGGCTTGGTCCCACAGCCAGGTCTTCACCATCCTCCTGAAGGACAGGAGGGAGGGGGCTGATCTAATATTGCCAGGAAGGGATTTCCATAGCCAGGGGACAATCACTGTCCCCGCCAAATGTGCCTGTGATGGTGTCAGGACAGAGCAGGGACTTCCAAATCACCCAATCTTGTGTGTGCCCAGGAGGGAATTTCTCATCTAGTATCAGCCACTGATTGCACCACCTGACATCCATTGGGAAGTAGCAGCCTGTAATGAAAGGGCCAAGACATTGACATCACCGGCCCATCCTCTTGGGATATCAGCCAGCAAGCCAACGCCTTAACTAAAGAAATAGCTTCTTAAGACCGATAGAGATACTTGCAGCAACAGAGCAAGTGAGAGTCCAAAAGTGGCAGGCAAAAACCCAGAACCTCAATCAGTGACTGATACAAGATGGGAAACTTCCCTCCTGGACACACAGAATATTGACTTGGAAGACACTGAACAGTCTGCGCTCTGGCACCATGAGATGCTGAGCCAATTTTAAGAATTGGGGCCACAAAGAGGAGTCCACAACATGTGAGTGTGGAAAAGAGCAAACCACAGACCTACTACAATGCAGTCTGAGCCCAGCCACATAACACAAGGGAGGAACTTCTCACAGCAACATCAGAGGCACTCGAAGTGGGCAGCTTCTGGTCAAAGGAAATTTAGTATATGTAATGCCAAGTTTTTTGATATGTTATATTTATTATTTGTATGTATAATGAGGCACTGGATTTTGCCGTAATCTGTAAGCAGCTCTGAGTCCCCTTCGGGGTTGGAAGAGTGGGGTATAAGGTAAAGGTAGTCCCCTGACATTAAGTCCAGTCATGTCTGACTCTGGGGTGTGGTGCTCATCTCCATTTCTAAGCCGAAGAGCCAGTGTTGTCCGTAGACACCTCCAAGGTCATGTGGCCGGCATGACTGAATGGAGCTCCGTTACCTTCCCACCGGAGCGGTACCTATTGATCTACTCACATTTGCATGTTTTTGAACTGCTAGGTTGGCAGAAGCTAGGGCTGACAGCGGAAGCTCACGCCGCTCCCCGGAATCGAACCTGCAACCTTTTGATCAACAAGCTCAGCAGCTCAGTGCTTTAACCCACTGCATCACCAAGTGGGGTATAAATATAGTAAATAAATAATAAATAAGTTTTTTTTAACTTTGTTGTTTTTCTATATATTATAACTATTCTCAATTCACTTCCGACACAATAAATAAGTGCCCACATATGAAATGAAACAACCATATCAAGAACAGTCTGGCACCACAAGATGCAGAGCCAATCTTAAGAAATGGGGCCACGAAGAGGAGTCCATGACATACGAGTGAGGAGAAGAGCAAACCACAGACTACTTACTATAATGCAGTCTGAGCCCAGCAACATGCACAATGGAGGACCTTCTCACAGCCGACTCCACTGTCAGCCTCAGCTTGTGCCAACCTAGCAGTTCAAAAACATGTAAATGTGAGCAGATCAATATGTACCGGTCCAGCAGGAAGGTAACGGCGCTCCATGCAGTCATGGAATCAAGTTGGAAGAGACCTCATGGACCATCTCTAGTCCAACCCCATTCGGCCAAGAAGCAGGAAAATTGCATTCAAAGCACCCCTGACAGATGGCTATCCAGCCTCTGTTTAAAAGCCTCCAAAGAAGGAGCCTCCACCACACTCTGGGGCAGAGAGTTCTTCCTAATGTTCAGATGGAATCTCCTTTCTTGTAGTTTGAAGCCATTGTTTGTAGTCTCCAGGGCAGCACAAAACAAGTTTGATCCCTCCTCCCTATGACTTCCTCTCACATATTTATACATGGCTATCATGTCTCCTCTCAGCCTTCTCTTCTTCAGGCTAAACATGCCCAGCTCTTTAAGCCGCACCTCATAGGGCTTGTGAGCCTCATAGGAGCCCCTGGTGGCGCAGTGGGTTAAACCCCTGTGCCAGCAGGACTGAAGACCAACAGGTCGCAGCTTTGAATCAGGGGAGAGGCAGATGAGATCCCTCTATCAGCTCCAGCTCCTTATACGGGGACATGAGAGAAGCCTCTCACAAGGATGATAAAAACATCAATTCTTCCAGGCGTCCCCTGGGCAACGTTCTTGCAGACGGTCAATTCTCTCACACCAGAGGCGACTTGCAGTTTCTCAAGTCACTCCTGACACGACAAAAATAAATAAATAGGGCTGTTCTCCAGACCCTAGTCGCCCTCCTCTGGACACATTCCAGCTTGTCAACATCTCTCTTCAATTGTGGTGCCCAAAATTGGACACAATATTCCAGGTGTGGTCTAACCAAGGTCGAATAGAGGGGTGGCATGACTTCCTTGGACTTCATACCGGCCACATGACCTTGGAGGTGTCTACGGACAACGCCGGCTCTTCGGCTTAGAAATGGAGATGAGCACCAACCCCCAGAGTCGGACACGACTGGACTTAATGTCAGGGGAAAACCTTTATCTAAGTAGAACCGGAAGTAGGGGTTGTGTGTACTGTTGACTGGACCTCTTGATCCCTGCGGCGTCGCTGTCCCGCTCGACTTGCAGGCGCTCTGGGTCTCCGGGACTCTATGGCTGTGGGCGGGGCCTGACGGTCCGCTCTGCCCGCCCCTCGTCGCTGGTGGCGTGTCGGAGGTCCCGGAAGCGTCGTCGTCGTCGTCGTCCTGGTCTGTGGGCGATGATGGCGGAGAGTCCGGCGGCCGAGGAGGCTGCGGCGGCGGTGCTGGGCGGCGGGCCCGGGGCAGGTGGCGGCAGCGGGCCTGCGGGGCCTGGCGGGGGCCCGGGCGTGTTCCTACCGGCCGAGCTGTGGGCGGTGGCGGGGCTGGGCTCCGGCGGAGGGGGCTCCTCGGCGGCTACTGCCGCGTCCGGAGGGGCCTCCTCGGTGCCGGGCATCCCTCCCTCCGCCGCCGCCGCTGCAGCTGCCGCCGGCGTCCTGCTCTCGCACTCGGCCTTCTGGGACCCCACCACCAGCGGGGACTGGGACGGCGAGAGGCCCAGCGCCGCCTGCCTCCTCCGCATCAAACGGTAAGCAGCCCGCCTGGCTTGCAGTGAGGTGAGGCCCCGAAAAGAAAGGCCTTGCCAGGCAACAACTCCCAGCATTCCGTCGCATTCAGCCGTGGTGGACCAAACTGCATTCATTCTGCTTCACCAAACTACAACTCCCAGCATGCCGTAGCCTTGGCAGTTCAAGCGAGGTCAATCTGCACCCGCACTCACTTCCAGTCACCTTCATGGTAGCCATGAGGGACCAGTCAGATCTTCCTCACACTCTTCATATCTCATGGCTCATTGGCGTTGTGATATTTATTTGTTTGTTTGTTTATTCCTTTATCCATTGATGAGGAACCTATATAGACCAATGTTTCTTAACCCTCCTAATACCGCAACCCCTTAATACAGTTCTTCGTGTTGTGGTGACCCACAACCATAACATTATTTTCTTTGCTACTTCATAACTGCACCATGCACCATGGAGGTTTCATTTAGCCCGGTGTTTCTCAACCTTCCTAATGCTAAATGAAACCTCCATAGTGCATGGTGCAGTTATGAAGTAGCAATGAAAATAATGTTATGGTTGTGGGTCACCACAACATGAGGAACATGTTCCTCATGAGTTCCTCATGTTGTGGTGACCCACAACCATAACATTATTTTCCTTGCTACTTCATAACTGCACCATGCACCATGGGGGTTTCATTTAGCCCAGTGTTTCTTAACCTTCCTAATATTGCAACCCCTTAATACAGTTCCTCATGTTGTGGTGATCCCCAACCATAATATTATTTTCCTTGCTACTTCATAATTGTAATTTTCCTACTGTTATGAATCATTACATAAATATCTAATATACAGGATGGATTTACATTCACTGGACCAAATTTGGCACAAATGTGATATGCCCAAATTTGAATACTGGTGGCATTGGGGGGGAGACTGATGTTGTCATTTGGGAGTTGTAGTTGCTGGGATTTATAGTTCACCTACAATCAAAGAGCGTTCTGAACTCCACCAATGATGGAATTGAACCAAACTTGGCACACAGAACCCCCATGACCAACAGAAAATATTGTATATTCTGACTG